GCCTCCAAAGAAGGAGCCTCCACCACACTCTGGGGCAGAGAGTTCCACTGCTGAACAGCTCTCACAGCCAGGGAGTTCTTCCTGTTGTTCAGATGGAATCCTCTTTCTTGTAGTTTGAAGCCATTGTTCTGCATCCTAGACTCCAGGGCAGCAGAAAACAAGCTTGCTCCCTTCCTCTCACATATTTATACATGGCTATCATGTCTCCTCCCAGCCTTCTTTTCTTCAGGCTAAACCTGCCCAGCTCTTTAAGCTGCTCCTCATACCTAATATTAAATACGACCACCTTTATACACAATGAGAAGACAGTTCACTATACTAATCAAGAAGAACTAGTTCCTTCTTAAGCGCTGACAGCAAAAATTCAAGGAAGCTACTTACAGCAGGCTGAGCTTGAACAGTACACAGAAGGGACCCACAAGTTAGAGGAGCCGGTATCAAAAAGGACTACAAACTGCTGGGCTGGAGTACCAATGGAGATGGTGCCAATGTACTCGATCTACCGAGGGCAGAAATGGTGCATGATAAAGAGTATGCCTCATTGTTATCTATCACACCTGTTACCTGTGATCAAACATGTTCTGCAGAAATTTGAAATAACAACACAAAATCTCTGTTTTCTAAAAAAGGAAAAAGAAAAAAAGAATGCAAACTAAATTTCCCTAATTTTATGAGTGCTTATCATACCTAGGTCTCTATGTCTATATGTCAGATTTCTTGCTTTAAGAGCAAAGTTCAATAAATTAGGTTATCCCTGTGTTCATGCTTTTTTGACCTTGTCCATATGTGATGGGAAACAGCAGAGAGACAACACTTGGTGCTCCCATATTGTACTGTTCCTAAGGCTGCCATTAGTATGGTTCTGTAGAGATGTATGTGGAGCCTCTGAGTAATAAATGCTGGGAACAAGGCAGGAGTGCCTCATGGAAAGGTTGCATTGAATGAGTACTTGTGAACAAACTGCAGCTGTTTAAGGAATGGGGAGACCAGCCTAAGGCATTTTGGTGCTTCAAGCCAACATCTAATGATGTCCCTTTCCACTCATTGTCAGGATAGTTATCTGAAGCTAGTCAAGTTATTTTGGCACCTGCTGATGCAGAAACACCACAATCAACCCCCTTCCTTCCTGGCACTAAAATGCAATACTCATAAACATAATAACTAGTGAATTGCTGCCGTTTCATACTGAAAATCAGCTGACTGGGCTCTCTGCTTCACTCTGTTTAATGGTAGGACTAGCATGTGAATATAGGTTGGGATGGTCCCCTAGGTGGACCTACCAAGCTGCTCATTTTAAATTAAGTGAACAGTGATTTGAAGTACAGAGCAGTAGTCAGTTTTATTTTCTCCACCAAAAATAAAAAGCCAAGATAATTTTAGCTGTTATTTAAGCATATTTTTCTAGTAACCAATACTCACATCCATGTAGTTTTCCAAGGGCTCAGCAGCATTTTCATTGGCAAGGCTGGGGAAGTACTTTGTACCCAAGTTAAGATGATGTGTCTGCAGGTATTTTTCCAGCAGTCCATGTTCTTTAAGGCTTTGTCTTATGGATTTGGTTTTCTTCAGGGGGACTCTACATAGAAAAAAAAAGAGTGATAAAAAGTGGGCACGTAACAAAGGAAAGTTGAGAGTTGAAAGTTTGGGAGTTGGACTAGACTCCAGGAGATCAGGGATCAAATATTTGCTCTGCCTAGAAAGTAAACCATTCAGTGAGTTTGGGCAAGTCACATTCTCTCAGCTTCAGAGCAAAGCAAAGGGAACTCCTGGCTGAACCAATCTTGCCAAGAAAACCTCATGATAGGGTCACCATAAGTCAGGAATGCAATAGCCTGCTTTTCAAAAAGGAAGTCTGAAAGCCCAATACTCACTTGGTCACAAGGCACTGGGAGAGAGCCACCAGCCCTAGAAGCAAAAGCCACTTCATGATTTCTTGCGTATCCCCAGCCGTTGAGGAAAATAAACGAGATGTGGGTCCCAACTGTAGAGCATCAGAGCTGGGTGCTATTCCTTATATACATCTAGCTTGGACCTTTTCTTATCATTTATACAACTCTGATAAGAAAGGCAAACCTTTCTGATAATAAGTTTTTAAAAGCCCAAACAAAAAATATTGGAGAACTTTCCAAGTTCATCCATTTCTAATTGCATAAGAACCGTGACCCAAAAGGTCCCTCAGACTCAGGTGACATTGCAACACCCTAGAACACAGAGGCAGACACCAAGGTCATGAGTGCCATGTGTCCAAAACCAATCAGTGTTCTTAAGAGGCTTCACAAAGTGCTAATACAGCTTCAGAACTTGCAGAAATGTAGTTTTCTTTACAGTGGGCAAAACACACGAAAAGCTTATTTGACCCTGCATGTGAAGACAAGGGCTGGATCCACACTGCCACATAATCCAGATTATCAAATCAGATAATCCAGATTATCATATTTGAACTGGATTATATGAGGCCCCTTCTACATTGCCATATAAAATCCAGATTATCTGCTTTGAACTGGATTATATGGCAGTGTAGACGCATACAATTCATTTCAAACCAGATCATGTGGATTATCTGCTTTGATAATCTAGTTTATATGGCAGTGTAGTTCTAACCTGTGTCTACACTGCCATATAATCCAGTTCAAAGCACATAACCTGGATTTTATATGGCAGTATAGATGGGGCCTCAGCAGAGAGAAGAGGCTCAGGCCCCCTCTACACTATCCCAGGATCGGATCCCAGATTATCAGTTTATGTTGCACACCAAGGCTGGGGATACACCTTTGAACCCAGAACCACAACAAAGTTCTTTTAAGCAAACCGTTTATTGAAGAATAAAAGTAGCTTCAGCAAAAGGGAACTTCAAAAGGATAATAATAGAATATTGTCCATAAAACAGTCAGTTAAGCAAAGTAAGCCATAAAGCAAGCATCAAACTCAGAAAGCAATAAGGGCTCAAAATCCAAGACAAAATCCACAGGAACTAGAGTCTGTGAGTCCAGAATGTCCAAGAATTCAAAGTCCCACAAGGCATGGACATAAATCAAGGCAGAAACAAACAGGAATCTCAGCATGAACATGAAGTCATGAATACAAGACAAGGATGCTCTTCTATTCTAAACGTTGGTCTCACTAAAAGTTACAGTTTCAAAGGCCCTATATTTATTTTAAAAGCCATGGCAAAAGCATTCCATTTCCCTTGGGAAATCTCTCCCTGACCCCTTTTTTCTCTTAATCTTTCGGACCATCTTCTACCTCCTTCCAGGTGGCGATGTTGATTGATTTAGCTTCTCCTATCAAAGAGTGTCTGGCCCTCCCTTGGTCTGCCAATTACTGCATTCTTTTCACATTTCGATCTTGACTGCCCAGAGTCTCTCTCAACCTCTTTTTCTGCCTGTACAAACACATCTATAGCAGGCTGGTTAACTATCCCAGAATCCTTAGCTTCATTCTGACAACAGTACTCTCTTGACCAAAATCCCCATTTCCAAACCCCTGTGAGTCTGCAGGAACTTGGTCATTTAACTCAGGCATTGAAACCTCTGTAGACTCAGGCAGAGAAACTTCTGCAGAACCTTGATCATTTAACTCAGAAGCATGAGGCAAAGAAACGATTGCAGGCTGAACCCTTACAATTTATTCCAGATTATATGGCAGTGGAGTTTCATATAATCCAGTTCAAAGCAGATAACCTAGGATCAGATCCTGGGATGTAAGGACAGTGTAGAAAGGGCTTCAGGCAAAAGCAAACTACTGCAGCCCTTCCTAGTTTGCCAGATTCTCTTCATTAATAATTTTTGCCACCTTGATCACACATGTCCCAGATTTCATCTGCAAAATGTTGGTTCAGGCAGTGATAACACTCATGGCTCTACTGCAGAGGTGTCAAACATGTGGCCCTCTGGATGTTTGGACTCCAGCTCCCAGAAGCCCTAGCCAGCTCATCCAATGGCTGGGAATTCTGGGAGCTGAAGTCTAAAACACCTGGAGGGCAACAAGTTTGACACCACTGCTCTACTGGGCCTTAGTGGAGCAACTTTAATTGGATTTTTAAAATATAAAGAGGGGGAAAATAAAAAGAAAGTAGAAGTGCATGGAATAGTTGTGTGAGCTGGGAGAGTGCATTAATAAGCTGACTATATATTTTCTTGATGCTCTTGATGTTGGTACCTCTAAAATACGTGTTGAAAAGTGTTATTTCCCTGCATCGGACTTTAGGTCACCACTGGCATCCTGAGTTTAGACACCATAATTTGCTTTCCATTTAGCACTATCAAAATCCTGAGCTAGGAACAAGTAAACACCAAAAATGTGATGTGACTTGCCACGCGGCCAGGTATGAATTGATCAAGGCTTGAGACAACCTTTGTTAAAGGTCCTGGTATTGTGTTAGTCAGATATTTCCTCCAAAAGCATATCTGTTCCTTGTTTATCTTCAAATATCAAAATGCATGTCAAATAACATTTATCAGGAGTCTCCTGATAGTGCAACGTGTTTATTTGTGAATGGAATTCACACTGTTTGAGGACTTTTGGAAAAGATGAAGATTGGGTTATAAAAGCTGAAAGGGAATGCAAAACTCTGGTGTTTGTGAAATGCTAAATGGTGTGTGTTAGGAAAGGTTTCATGTTTTAAAAGGATATGCACACAATATCTACAAGTTCTCATTAACTGTACCAGTATTTTGGGACACTGCTCATATTTGTAATCACTGTTTTGTGAATTTTTACTATTTTGGATAGTTTCTTGTATTGCACTCTTCCTACTAGAAGAATAACTAAATAAAAGTCACAACAATGGGCATATCACAAGCAGTCGACAGTTGTACACTTGTATCTGGACCATATCTAGGGTTTTCATTTCCTCAATTCCAGGCATTTTATTTGCAAATTATTCTGTTCAGAATTATGTAAATCTAGCCCTTTGTTGATTCCCCCCTCCGCCACATTCCACTGTGTTTCAACATTCATAACATTTATATTGTTACATATGTTCCAAGGTAATTAGTACAAAGTAATTTTTAAAGTGCTGAACTTGAAACAAGAAGATCCAACTTCAAAACTCTGCATGCTCTTGAGAGTTTTGAAGTTGGGTCTTCTTGTTTTGAAGTTTTGAAGTTGGGGCTTCTTAAAGTGCTGAACTTGAAACAAGAAGACTCAACTTCAAAACTTTGCATGTTCATGTGACTTTGGCCTGCCATTGTTTATCTGCAATCCTTCTTCTCGCACTGGTCACTTTCCCTTTTTTTCTTACTCCCTCCATTGACTGAACTTGCTTCACTGTTTCTGGTGTAATATTCCTATCCTCACTGCACCCTGTGCTCTTTCAATGTGTTCCTTGCTTGCCTCTTCTACATATTGCCCACTCTCCTTTCCCTTCTGCCTTACCTCCTCTCTCCCCCCATCTCCTCTCAATGTGCCCTTCTACGCTCTAGATGGCTTACTATCCCTTTAGGACTTGTTTCTCATGGAACTATTTCATAGATGGTTTTTCCACATTTTACCTTATATCTTGGTTCCTACAAGCTCTGACAGCTGATTTAGCTATCGGAGCTCTACTGTCAGATCATTCCAGAATCTTGGGGTGGCTGAGGAAAAGGTCCTCTGGGTTGCCAGTCGGGTTCTGGGAGGCTGGAGTAGATGCCCCCCAGAGGACCTAATCGTTCAGGACAGCTTGTACAGGAAAAGGTGATCTGGTAGGTAACCTGGATGCAAACCATATAGGACTTCAATGGTCAAAACCAACACTTAGTACTTTGCACGGAAACTAATTGGCAGCCAGTAGAGTGACTTTAGGATAGATGTGATATGTTCACTCCTGGATGTTCCTGTAACCAATCTGGCTGCTGTAATTTGAACCAACTGGAGTTTCCGAACTTGGTACAAAGGTAGCCCAATGCAAAGCACATTGCAAAAGTCAAACCTTGAGCTTACCTTGAATCCAGACTTATAGTATGAGGATCATACTATATTCTACTATCATATTGATCCACACACTTTTTCTGTTAATAAGATTACCTTTGAATTTCATCTCTCAGGGCCTGTTATGTTGCAAAGACCCTGAAAGCTATCTAGTTTCTTGGATTCATTCCTGTCACTTGAAGCACAGATGATCTCAGAGGTGAAGGGTGTCTTATACCAGCTTCCTCTGACTTCCTAACCTGTCCTTATATGGACAGAGATAATGTAATTTCAGTAGTCTAGTTTTTTTGTTTGTGTCAGGAGCAACTTGATAAACTGCAAGTCACTTCTGGTGTGAGAGAATTGACCATCTGCAAGAACGTTGCCCAGGGGATGCCCAGATGTTTGATGTCTTACCATCTTTGTGGGCAGCTTCTCTCATGTCCCTGCATGAGGAGCTGGAGCTGACAGAGGGAGCTCAACCCATTCTCCCCAGATTTGAACCGCTAACCTGCTGGCACAAGGGTTTAACTCATTGTGTTACCAGGGGCTCAGTAGTCTAATGATATTCATGATATAGTAATGCAATGTGCTATATGTCACCAAGTGCTTTTGTTTAACTTTAAGACATTTAGTCATTATAACAATACTTGGGTGTTTGTTTTACAAGTTTCCTTTGAAAATCTTAGAAATTCCAGAAAACTTAATAGATGCAAGTTGCTTTAATTGGCCTTTATCAGTAAGATGAGTCAATAAATACTACATTGTTTACTTTAGCTGTACCAGTAGGATAAATAAATTAGCACCACATTGTAAGGTCATAACTTTTGGAAAAAAATATTCTGGGCTTTACTTGAAGACTTCAAGCGATCAAGCACCTAATACTGCATTCACAATCTCTGCCAGGAGATAATATCCTCTCTTAAAGCATGGACTTTATTTTTTTGTATTGGAATTTAGAAGGAGTCATTGGCTCCTGCAATGCCCTTTCTTCCTCATTATAGAGGATAGAACCTGTTAGTACCCAGTATTTTTCCA